TTCAGTTTCCCGTGCTCTGCCAGCGAGGAGGTGCACAAGAAGCTGGGAGGGAGCATGGCCAGGACAGCTGACCCCAGCTAGCCAAAGGGCTATTCCACACCCTGGGACGTCACACTCAGGCTGGAGGTGGATCGCTGCTCGGGCATCAGTCAGTGGTGGTGAGCAATTGCACTGTGCATCACTTATCTTTTTTGGGTTTTATTTCTGTCTATTTTTTAAAAATTATCTTCCTTTTAATTATTATTATTACTATTATTTTTAAGTTTTTAAAACATTCTTATCTCAACCCACAAGTTTTACTTTTTTTTTTAAATTCCCCATCCCACCGGGAGTGGGGAGGAGTGAGTGAGTGGCTGTGTGGTGCTTAGTTGCTGGCTGGGGTTAAGCCATGACAGAGAGCTGTAGCACGTGAAAAAAAGCAACCCAGAATGCTCGGCTAGGAAAGATAGGGCAACAGGGATGCAAAATAACTCTCTGATGCCCCATGGGAGTATACTTTTTGGAACACACAGGATACCCATCAGAACCTGGACAAATAAAAGAGAATCTGCTCTGTTATAGCCTCCTGTGAAGCAGCAACTGAAAAGATGGCTGTAATCAATCAATAAACAGTCACTGGTTCTATTATTATATGACAGCATGGTTTATCCTGAAAGACTTTACAGATGAGCCCCTTCCTAAGCTCAGATACACAGATGGATTTCTTCCCAGAGCAGTGAAGACCCAACATGGCCACATCAGCATCGCTACGACAGACCAGCACGGGGCCTGACTTGCACATGAGATGGGTACACACACTCCCAGCTAAAGCAGGCAGCACAAACCACTTCACTGTGGGCATATCAGATGCTAATTTATATCCATGAGTGAGACACACATGCTTTCTGGAGTGGCTGATTCAGTGAGTGTACATCCACATTCCTACTGGTACCAAGCTATGGCATATTAAAGCAGTAAGTGAGAACATATGCAACAATGAAATGCACCACTGCTGCTGGAGGAGGATAAAATGGAAAGCTGTGCAGTGCTTGGCTGAGTGAGGCTGACTAATGACTCTAACGTGAGTGGCTGCTGATCAAGAAATCAAACACAGAGCAGTCCATCACAATCACGGCAGGTGAGGAAAGACAAGCCAGAGCCAGAGCTCGGGATACCAGAAACCTTCCATGCTGTTCCAAAAAACAGTAGTATCTTCCACATAGAGCAAAAAAACCCGTTTGTTTCAATGCATAGTCAAATTCATTAGAAACCCTCTGAAATAGGATCCTTTGTTACACAGTTTGTTGCCAGATGATATGGACATTTTTGGGTAGTGTGTTCTCAGGAACACAAATGGAAAATAGAAAATGACGTGATGGACACAGCATGTCAAAATAACAATCCTCATTTAAATCTTCATGCTCGAGACTTCTTACATCTCAAATGTCAAACATGCAAAATGGATTGCTTGCAGAAACTGATTTGGGGAACATCAATTGTTCTGAATTTCAGAGTATTAACATGAAAAAAACCCTGACTTTAAACTGTATCAGAACTCTACAAAATCTGACACTTTGCTCCTGCTATTTCTTTACCTTTGTTTGCACTTCAAGGCCACATCCCCTTTGTCACTTGGACCACAAGAGCTGATCTGACATTTTATGGTGTGTGCTTGACGTGACTGCCTATACGGTGCCCCACTGCCTTGAGGGACAGTTCCTGCTCCTTCCCAGCAAGGCTCTGAGTAGGATCACACCACTGTTAAATGTTCAAGAAAGCAGAGGATCAAGTTTCAAACAGAAAACTTCTGAGAAAAGAAGCACATCTGTTGTGTAATTCCAGAAGAAAACAGGAATTAGACTCTACTTTCTAAATGTCTCACCCAATTCTACAGATTGATGATATTTATTCACACAATACAAACATTGGAAATGCCAGGGCTCTGATCCTTACTGATACCAGGGTAAGTGGGTTTTTTTTAGCACTTAAAATCTTTAATCCCTTTGGAGATATGGGAGGAAGTATTCAGTTACACCAATCACAAAACCAGTCACGGGGTTATTAGTTAGTAGCCTTTTCTTTTACAAAACACACAGAGAGACACAAACCAAACCCACTGTCTGCTGAAGACAGTGTCAAAGGAAGCCTTAAGAGGGACAGTGTCAGCAAGGACCAAATGAAATTGCAGTTTTCATGCTGATGAACAGTCCTGCAATCTTACAAATGCACTGAACAGACACATGGATCCAAACACCATCAGTGTGGACCAGTCTGCATGCCTTGAAAACTGGACAGAAACAGAAATCATAGTTGTAGTAGGTGGTTTGGAAAGCTGGTGACAAAACCAAAATCTGTACCAGACAGAGATCTTTGAAAAAGTTTGCTCACTAGTCTGACTTCCCTTTCTTTTTGAAAACATACCTTAAATTTTCTACAGCCACTAAGTCCCCATCATGGGTACTTTCAAATCTCAATTCTAAGTAGACTGCCTGATCCTTTTCATCAATAACACTCACACGTTCACTCTTTCCATTACCATAATTACACTGGCATATCACTTAAAAGCCACAAAATTGCATTGTGTTTCTATAGGCAGCCATAACACAACAGCACAAAACAGCACAGGCAAATGCTGTAGCAAATCCATGCAGGTGCTACTTCTTCAGAGGCCCATCAGAAATCAGTGCAGTGTGGCTATAAAGTGGATGCTCTGCTCTCCTAGATCACTGCCTTCAAAGCACGTGTTCCCAGGGAGACAGGTAAGTGTTCACGGTTCAGCGTTAATGTCTCTGCATTTTAGGGCATGTAATTCATAATTTGCAGGAGAGGTACTTATGCAATCACAATGTCTCAGTGCTCCTGATATTTGTCAGCAAGGGTTGGGCATTCTCCTCCTTGTGCTGCTTGTCTCATCTGTCTCTGGACAGTTTATGCACTGTTGAATTGGAGCGTGTCTTCACTTGGGTTCAGAATAAAATCACTGCTCTCAGGAGCCAGCTACTTACATGCATCTGTTTTCAAGAGCATTTAGTGCTAGAGTGTGGACCTTACTCACTTCTGTATCAGTCCATCAGTATATAACTCCAGCAAGATCTTGAACATAAACATGAGGAAAACCCATGGTAAATCAGGCCCTGTATTGCTGAAAAAAAAGCCCCCTTATCCCAGGATAACAGGGATGAGATTCCTCATTCTCTATTAAAAATGTCTGTAGCTGAATTTCCAGAGGTGTTTTGCAGCTGCAGCTTCCATACTTTGGGGGGTGTATGAGCTACTGAAAATCGTGTCTGAGAACTTGCTGAGGTTTAACCTCTTAGTTCAGTCTTACCTGACATGTGATCATTGTCTCCAGAACAGAAGATACTCAAATACTAGAACAACTCACGTGAAAATTAATACAGCGATTTCACATATAAACTGGAAGTAATGAAGTGTGCAAAACCTTTCAGGAATGAAAGCCTGAAACCCTGATTTCAGAAATGAAAGCTTTGGCTGATTAATTTTCCTTCATAAATAAACTATTTCTCAGGGCTGAGTGAAATAGATATAAAACATCTGCACTTTTAAAACAATGTGAGGAGAGCAGCACATGTTATCCAGGAAATCTGATTTCCTAAGTAATTACTTTCCTGCTTATTGAGGTTTCAAGCTGAGCAAAGGGTCAGTGATGAAGGACCGTGCTGTCTTGTAGTAAATAAGGTTAATGCTACTGGATAGAAGCTTTGTATACACTTTTTTTTTTTTTTTTTAGTAGTAGTATATACTGTTTTGCAGTCACAAGGTATGAGAACAAACCTAAGTGCAACTTGCAACTCATGTTCAAATAGGGATCCACATGTTACTCTCTGTATCAGAGATGGATCCTGTGAGATGGCCCCACCCAACCATTCACTTAGAAATGTGATCATTTCATCTGTGTCCTTTCCAAAAGACCACTAGGATCCTTTCAGTTGGGTATGTTGTTAGAAGTGCTTGGATGGACTTCTCAGGAGCTGACGTCTCAAGTTCTACACTGGAAGGGGAGTACATCAGATTCTCCGTCAGAGCCTACCTTGGGACCATGCAATAGAGTTTTAGCTTACTGATATACATCAAAATGAAGATGACTCTAAGGTGGTAACTTGTGTCCTTCCTAAGAGATCTCAAAAACAGGGCAGAGCAACCTACAGTGCATACCTAGGCTTCATATATTTTAGCATTTATTTCAACAGCTACTAAAAACAGCACCCTTCACCCTGCACAGCACATCTCAGAGGAGCTGTTAGACAAGCATCTGCACTGGAGACAAAGGCCTAGGAGATGTGAATTTTCAAATGAAGGGGAAAGAAAGCCCCTTTCTTATCAATTCCTGTTTTCCCACTATAAACATTCTTGAAAGCACTTTCACATTCCTGAAACAGTATTTCCTTAGAAAATTCCATTTCTGAAAGGCAAAATGTTCCTTTATAGAGAAAAATAAAATGACACTCTGACTATGTAGTCCAGTTTAATTTTAAAATTTATCCGGTAGGAAAACTCAGAACATGTGTAAAGTTCTCAAAAAAAGAGCAACTCTTGAACAAGGCAAGGCTAACACATCTACTAGTGCTCCTGGGAAGCTCTGGTTTGGGCTGACAGCCAAGAGTGCTGCCTACAGACCGAAAGGAAGCCAGCCTCTTATCATCACATAGAAAATACCTTTGTTTCTCTTACACACAATGTTTCACTGGCTTATTACTCATGCCAGAGTCCACTGGAAATTAAAATAACAGATGAAAAAGCTCCTACTATCCTACTGAGGGCTACAATGTGAACTTGAACCAGGGATTCACAACTAGAGCACGCGCACTTCTGAGTGCATTGTGGTGCAGCTTTGAGGTGTGACACATGCATCCACAGCTTTGTAGCGCCATCTGTTTTCTCCAGTTTCATTTTGCTGTCCCTGTACAAAGCCTTTAGCCTTGCTTCATTTAAATTCCCCCTCGGCAGACAGCTGAGACAGAAAACGTCAGTACCAAAACGACAGCACATGCGAGATTTACCTGATGGGAGCTGACTCATCCCCTTTATCGAGCCAGTCCTGCGGTGGGATTATGTACATGCACCAGAGGCCCCAGTTATAGCCGTGGGCTGCATTGGCGTATTGCTGCACTTCAAAAGTGTTGTACTTGATATTGTCAATCGCTGGTAAGATGATCCGCTTTCGATCTTCTTTGATCCGGGTAAGTGCAGGTTCCACCCTGAGAACAATAAAAACAGCAGAATGTTTTACAGCCAGCCAGTAATCCCAGGTCCTGCTTTGCAGTCTGATGAAACAAAGTTCTCTAATACTGCGAGCAGTGACCCAGCAAGATGGCAGCCCATAATACAGCACAGCGGGATCGAAGACAGATCACTGTCATACACCGAAGAGGCTGGAGCTTGGTTTGGGATACTTCACAGGGCAACAGCACATGATTTATTACCTGTATGAAGCTGTACCAGAGTTTAACCACACAAAATTTTACCAAACACTTATTCTGAGGCCTGGAGACTGTCAATTCATTTTGCAGCGGACAAGTGTTGAGAAACACTAACACCAAGAGTAACTAAATGGTCTCCTAACAGCTACAGCAACAGGATGCCTGGTAGCGATTAAATACCTGCTCTGCTGACAAGGCCTGAAGAACAAAACACACACTGGGGACTGAATGAATATGAAGGTTACTCAAAGGTTTTAATCTTGTTTCCTAAGGACTGACCCTATCGGATCTAGTTTGAATGACAAATGTGGCTGCGTTATGCCTTCTAAAACCTCTTTGGTGATGAGAAGATTTCAGTTGCCAGATGGTGCAAAAGCAGGGAACTGCAGGAAATGTGCCACCGTTTCAAAAGGCTTTAAAACATCAATGTGTTTTCAACAGAAACTACATCCCAAAGTGTTTCAGGAAAGTAAAAAGCTTCAGTGCAAACATTCCTTTCTGACCAAGGTAGTCTGAAGTTGCTACGAATTTTCAGAGAAACTGATCCAAAGAGGTAGCAGACTTACATAAGGGTGAAAAGCACTTCTCAAAGCAGTATTAGAAACAGCCACAGGTTCATTCCTTTGTAACTCTGTTTCCCCTTGAAACAACGTTTGAAGATTTTGCAGAGCTCTCACATGTATCTTTAAGGGAATGGTGGTTTGCAGTGATTCACAGAGGTAGCAGGCTTTGAACACTGATCTTTTCTCGTTTTTCTTTTGTTGTTGGTTAAAAGGCAATTGTTCCTTTGTGTTTTCAAGTTTGTTACCTTATATTTTGTTTGTTATCTTATATTTAGTTCCTTATCATGTATTTTCTTGTGTAGGCCAACAAAATAGGACAAGTTATGAAAATAATTCAACCTCCATTTTCAATCTTCACTGACTCAATCTGAACTATCATAAATTGTCGAGTCTCTTCTGCAAAAAGACAGCAATTTCTCTGTACTTGAATATGGTGAAAATACTTGACTTTATGTATACAGACTCCGTATTGCTTACATGAGGTCATGTATTGCTTGCTTTCTTTTCTTTTTACCCTTCCCACACCAGTAAAAAGACACACAGATTCGGTGAAACCCTTGAGTACTGATGATAAGCCACTTACTGCAAATAAACCATCACAAAACAATGTAAAATAAGAGCATAACTGACAAAAAGACAAGGTGTCACAGCATTTCATTTGAAAAGAAGTCAGAGAGTTAAACTAGTTTTATTTGGATTCCTCTAGAAAAATGACATTTGAATCTATCTGCCAATAACAGAGCATCGAAGTTTTAATAAAAAGAATGATCACAGGTACGGTGGGAAGGGAAGAACGACATTGCAAGTTGCAGAAATTCCCCCTGGCCAGGAAGGTTATGAAAGAGATGTTCATCTCATATGCAATATGTATTATTTTGTTACTCGATTTATTCTGGGAATAAATCAATGCATCCCTCATGACTGGAATGGCCTGAGGTCTCTCTTACTCCTGCCTGCCACCTGCAATTTTTGGTGCAGTACTTCTCTTATCAAAGCCCAGTCCTGCAAGGTACCAAAGACCTCCACAGAAGCACGAAAGGGCATCAGCCCAGAGGAGGTCAGTAATTTCAGCTCAGGTTGTTAAGTACCCTTTTGGTTTTAAAATATTTCCTTAGTCAGCAGGATCATACGTTGTTTCTTTTTCCCCCTTTTTTTAAAGAACTACACCCCGGACTTAAAGGAGATTTTCTTCTTTTTTTGTGAAAGACAAGAAACAATTGAGGGAGATTCACAAGAGTGCAGTGCATGATTCAGAATGCCAATTCGCATGTTTTTTAGTCCACAGTCATGCACCCACATAAAGAGCCAATGTGACCTACTAAATCAGGATAAGCCACTTCCGTTATTAATATGAGATTATATTTATGAGATTAACTGCTTTAAAAACCAGTGGGTAGAAGGCAGAACTCTTGCAACTCCAGTAAAGCAGGGAAGAATACAGAAAAGATGCATCTGCTTTGTTCTTTCCATAATGTTATCTCTGCTCATCATCTGAGAAGCAGCAGAAGGAAGTACAGCAGAACAACAGAGATGTCAGGCAGACACCCCTCTCCCATCACAAATCAGCCTCCGTGCATATGGTAACCCCTGTGCGTATCAGCAGGAGGGTCTCCCACTCCTTTCTGGCCTCTGAAACACAGGCTTTCAAAATACCAAACAACAGGTATAGATGTCACTAATGACAGGCCACTTGCTTGACTGTAAGAAGAATCCTATTCCTCATGGTTGCAGGGAAAAAAAAAAAAAGACCTTGGAGCAGGACACTGCCCATGCGGAGCACTTGCAGCAGAAGCCTTACTGCAAAATGGACTCCAAGTTCCCTTGCAAAGCAAACACCACCCTGGGAGGTGGCCCACTCCTGAAGCCCTTGGGTGCTGATTCAACAGATTTGGTGCAGTGGGGAAGTCACAGAGCAGAGGGATTACATCCTCCAGTGAGATCTGGTGCACAACATAGGGCATGGTTGCACCTGGTGACTCCCATGGCATGCACAAACTTATTCTGTTTGAGTTAGATTTCCAGATCTGCCCTGTAAAGCAGGAAAACTGACTGCACACCTTCTGAAGCAGAGATCTGTAAATGGGTTTCCTTCGTAAGAATCAAATTCTGTCATTCACATTCACTACCATCTGATTCTGGAAACAGGTCTTTGACAAACAAGGGAAGACTTGGATTTTTTAAAACTATTTTTATCTCTCTTGTTTAGAGTTCTTTGGCCACTAAATCCTCAATCTCTCAATTATTGGGATGCTTATGTTGATACAAAGCAAGATCATTTAACTGTCACACTCAAAACTATCCCGAAGTTTCCACATTGCTTCTACAGTTCCTCCCTGTGTGCTCATTTTGCAAGTATTTTACTTTGAAGGGTAGATTGAAATTGTGCAATGAAAAAACTAGAAGAGATAAGCAATTCTTCTCCCTTAATATCAGGTGTCTGCAATAGACCCCCCACATCCAAGGTAATTGCCTTAAACTTTCATTCTCAGTAGAGAGAGGCAGGGGCTGGCACTTTTGGTAAAATACCTCTCATAATAATGTAGACACTGAAAACAGGCGAGATTAAAAATGTTCCAGGGGAGTCTATTTTGAATATAAAGGGAATTTAGCCTGCTACTTTGCAAGACAGCTTAAAATTGGGCTGTTGAAGTGTATCCCCAATAATGGTTAGAGAAAGAATGTGAAGAAAACATTTAACAGTCACTCTGATTTTCAGCCCTCAATCATATTTGTGATTGTGTTCATCTGATACTTGTGTCTTGGAAATACTAATCTGCATCCTCATTTTCTTCATAACAAGAAGAACAATCCATTCCCAGCTCTGGTGCTGCTGTCACACCAGACATCACCAAACTACTCTGGTCACTCTACAGTTAACTGAATTCCTGTGTTTTCCAGTTGTGTGGCTTACATTTATTATCACCTGACTTGGTGATTTGCATCACAATGGCAGAAGAAGGGATCTCTGGAGTGTAATACAACAGTCTGATTAAAATATGTGATGACATTTCATTAATCTCTATCAGTCTATTAATTTGAAATCTCAGGTTTCAAACTTTCATGAAATCTGAGGCATCTGAAAGCTGTCCGTGTGACAGACGTTCTGTTTCAGTCCCCTGCACTCAAGAAATGTAAATGTTGAAGATATTACTACTTCAGCAAGTGTTGCTATCTCTACCCTCAGGTTAAAGATGAAGTAAAATGCCATGCCAAGGTTACGGAGTGAATGGGTATGAAAGCAACTGCTGGAACTTCATTTTCTCAACCTCCCATTGCCCCCAGCAGAGGTGACTTTCTTCCTCTGTCTGTATCCATATGGGGAAATCACATCTCTGCAGGTATTAGAAACAGGAAAGGTTCAGTATCTGGACAGACTGCACATTTATTTAACTTCCAAAACATGTTCACATCCACAAGTAAGAGAGCAGGCTCCGAGTCACAGATGGAAAGAGAAAATCCAGTGCAGTTGTTCTCTGTTCCTTAGCAAACTGCAAACGGAGAGTCTTTTAATTAAACATCTACACCTGTGAGATTTCACAGCTTGTCTTGCCTGATCAGGGACAGCAGAAATAGCAATGGGGTATCCAGATACCAAGCTTCACCTCATCTCAGTGAGAACTACAGGAACGTTCAAATCCCAGATTCTGCCAGTGCACCCCAGCACGGCTTGTGCTCTATTTCTCTGCCTGCCAAGATCCCTAGGTAATGGCCAAAGAAGAAGGACTATTAACTTGAAAGGACTGGGTAATGGACTGTGTTTACATTGCTTATCTTGGGTAATCCATGAAATATGAGGGGGGTTTATTGCTATTCACTGCTAGCAAAGTCCAGCCTTGGAGTAGCTCTATTAGGCTCAATGGACTTACACAGTGTCTTTGTCTCTGTAAGCTGAGCTGCACATTCATCAAATCCTTTGTCAACTTTGCTGGTAATTCTGGCTTTGTCTAATTGCTTCAGGTTTTTGAAAGGATTATGATTAAATCTTTCCTAGTAATTTCTATTTTTTTTCCTAATTTTAAGCTGCTACATTATTATGTAGATTTACTCATCCTCTTTATAGACACCAGAGTTCTCTCCCTGTTTTTTTTCCCTCTTGTCTTGTGTTTTCCACGCTGCATCTGCAGAAGTCAGGTGCTCCTGGCAGCTCCCAAGACTAGAAGGACAGAGTGGAAGAGGTTGCTGAAGCCCTAGCATGTTCAACGTGCTTTGATAATG